GTTTTTTACCATTCTGAAAAGTCTCAACACTAAAAAATAACAATGTGTAAAATGGAAAAAAGAATAATCAAAGAAACAAGAAACCTCACAGTTCACTCCAAGAAAGTAACACAACCGAGAGGCAAGTTGGCCGATCTTGTACTCTTTAAAAATCTCTTACCAAGAAGTCTCACAATGTTTGTATCGAATTTCAATCTCTAACAAATATGAAAACAAAATAGTAGCTCTAAGAAATCAAAGAAGGCTAACACTCTAATTGAACGAGAATGCAATGAAGAAGAAGTATGCAAACTCTTTTAATCCTACTAATACAAGAAGAGAATGTGTTAGACAATGTAAGTGAACAAAGAATGGTAAAACAAAAGAACTTAAAATACTAAGAATAAAAAAAAGTTGGAAAAAACCAAACCCAAAAAACCAAAAAACGCAGGATTAACTTGAGCAATGTTTTTAAGGGTGTTACCGATGTCTAAAAAATCTAATTTTTTTTGAAGTCTTTCTTTGAGTTTATAATCAGCCTGTAAATTTTCAACCCAAAATACCATCAGTAGTATCTTGTATAAATTCTTGAACGGAGGGAACTTAAATCTGCCAAACAAATTTGAACGACGCTTTTAAGGGGTCTATTTATGTCCGATTGAATTGAATTTTTTTAGAACCACTCTTGGGATAAGTAATGTACTTGTAAAAATTAGTCCTAAATTCCTTCATTTGCTTTTTCTAAAAATTTTGCGTTTTTTGTTGATTAAAAAGAGCAAACTAACAAGAAGAAATTGCGACAAAATTAAAAAAAATGCAAAAAGAACCTGAAAACGATCAATTGTTGTAAACTAGCTCTGTTGGGGTACCTTGGCAGTTTTGTGTTCAAAAACAAGCAAGATTGCTTGATTCTTTCCAATAATCGACCTAAATTGATACCAAATGATAAAGAATAGAAATGGAGTTATGAACGTTGCTCGTCGTTGAAGAATCAAACCTAGAAAGATCTAGACTCGATCAAAGAATGAATGGGAAAGAGATGGAGGGGCAATGATAATTAAGGTTTTTAGGGTTTGTTGGAAATTGAATAAGATGAATAATATTAAAACAATAAAGATAAAATAAATATAAGGGAAAGTAATAATAATAATAATAATAATAATAATAATATGATAGGAATAACTTAGCCAAGTAAGGGTTTTGTTGGTGATGGGCGAGAATAGTGATTGAATAATGATGATGATTGATAGATAGTTGTTCTACGGACCCTCCTAGTCGCAATTGACTAGGAAAACTCGATAATTGGCTCTAACCAATCGCAATGAGAAGACAAACGGAGTGTGGAGATCTCCCTCACGAAGAACTTGAAAGAACTTAATGATGAAGAATGTTTTGAAGGCACAAGGCAATCAACACTTGCAAAAACAAACTCTCGTTGTATTATATTCAAGAAATATGTGTTTACAATGGTGGAAGAAGCCTCCTTTATATAGGGTGAGAAGTCTTTGTTGTAACATGACTAATGAATAAAAGAAAATGTTTCGAGTCTATCCTAATTCCTAATAAAATAATAATAAACTAGGAATAATGTTTTAACTTGATCTTAATTCCTAAAAAAATAATCAAACTAATTTTAAAAGATAATGCATTTAAATTATATTACAAATAATCAATAAAATATTAAAAATTTGTAATATTTAGAAATTGATCATTTAAGGGATTTTAAAGATATTTTCAGGATTGTCTTTGGTTATGTCATTAATTGATCCTGAAGTTGTTTCAACTTGAGTTATTGAGATACAAGTAGATGTAGTAAGAATGAGTAATGAATTTTCTTCATAGAATTCTTTAATCTTCATGTCAGCATGAAGTCCCTTGCTAACGAAGGCTTGAACCGCAACTTGAAGCTTGTCTTTCAGAAGTTTGGACCTGACCCGTGTGATTGGACCAAGTGAAAGAGTCAGTCCATCTTCTTTTGTCCTGTGACGTGTCGTGCATGTATCAGTCTAGAGGGTTAATAAACTTTGTGATACTAAGGAGGACCTAATTCTGAAGGAATGCCATGTCGTAAAGGTAAATGAAGCTAATACAAATCGATACATGTAATTCTTTGATTATGCAAAGAAGTCTGAGGTATTTGTTGATAAAGCGGATAAGGTTGATCAGTCTATTAATATGAAGAACACTAAATTTGTTAATAATGTGCCTAGAACAATTAGTTTAATAATTATTCAGGTTGAGGATAATGGATTTCCTCCATAATAGTTAAAAAGATTTTAAAAAATCATGGAACATGAACCAAATGATCTCAATGGTTAAAGGAATGATTGGTATTCCTATAGTTCTCAGGTTCGAGCACGATGTCTATAAGAGTGTTTGAATGTTCATGTTCTAAAGATTCTCAAGTCTCAATCATTTGATAATGAAAGCTCAAAAACCCTTACAATTTCTGATGCTCGAACCTGAAATCTCTAAGAATAATAATAATCTCTTTAATCATAAGGCAATTTGGTGTGTGCTACCTTATAATAACTTTAAACTAATGAAAAGAACGCACAAAGGATTTGACCATATTGTATCACCATTTTTGGTCCAATTGCTATGGTGAGAATTTTCTAGCAAATTATCCTCAAATAACTTAAAAAAGGGGTTAATTCAGTATATTTGTTTTACAAATTTTATTTAAGAAATATATATATATATAGTTTTTCGACTTCAATTGTTTAGTAATATAATCATAATGTGTTAAAAATAATTAAAATATTTGTTTTAGATTAATAAAATATTAATATAATGATAACACTCTCTGCAAATATAACTGCTCGAACATAAGACCTTTAAAGAGAACATTTATTTTTGTCATTAAAACTATTAAAAATAATATATATATATATATAATGTTTGCAACTTAAGGTGATTTGTATACCTAACATAAATATTGTCATACAAATGAAAGCACATAAAAGAAACTAAAAGATTGAAGAAGAAAAGAAAATTGCATTTACAACTCAGCATGGGCCATTTATTTTTCAATTACATAAAAAATGCATTTACAGCTCAAACAAAGTGCATCACATGCATAATATCTATCCAACCAAGAAAAAGAAGAAAAAAACATTGTGTTGAATCAATATTTGTGGTATCGTCATATTCACATCAACACCAATATTTGTGGTATCATCATATTCACATGAACACCATCCTAATGCACAAGCTCAACACCACCATAACCAATCTCTTGCTCCCCAATCTTTGAACCCCATTGTTATCATTAGAGTCTGGTCATCTGTCGGCTCACTGTCTACAGGTGTGTCTGCATCCGGTGCACTTGCTGATTCCACCGGTTTAAACATCTCCTTAGGCAACAATACCTTATTAATTTTGTACACGATTAATGGTTCTTCATCTTTCACAATCCCCGTGATCTTGGCGATCACAATAGTGGTGTCCAACATCACCACCTCGTCGTTTTTGTCCACTATGAAATCGAACTTGTTTGCTCCGTCCGTCGCCAGCGTGTTCATGATCCCGGTGTTGGTTTTCAGCATTTGCATGTTCATATACACCAGAAGCCCATGGTACAACGGCAGAGACTTTTTCTTCGTCGCCGTCAGATTCTTGTATTTGGTCATGAAATCTTTGACGACCTGGTCGGTCGGGCAGAACATCGTTAAACCCGAATCGAGATTTTGGTTGAATGTTTCGTCGGCATCCGTAGCTTTAAGCAAATTCGTAAACGCTTTACAGCCTTGCTTCATCATTATTTCGGTTATACTAAGATCGGTCGGCGCGGCAGTCGGTGCTTCTTTTTCAGCTGAATCCAGAGGCATGTAGTAAGAATGAGTAATGAATTTTCTTCATAGAATTCTTTAATCTTCATGTCAGCATGAAGTCCCTTGCTAACGAAGGCTTGAACCGCAACTTGAAGCTTGTCTTTCAGAAGTTTGGACCTGACCCGTGTGATTGGACCAAGTGAAAGAGTCAGTCCATCTTCTTTTGTCCTGTGACGTGTCTTGCATGTATCAGTCTAGAGGGTTAATAAACTTTGTGATACTAAGGAGGACCTTGTGAAGGAAGGCCATGTCGTAAAGGTAAATGAAGCCAATACAAATCGATACATGTAATTCCTTTGATTATGCAAAGAAGTCTGAGGTATTTGTTGATAAAGTAGATAAGGTTGATCAGTCTATTAATATGAAGAACACTAAATTTGTTAATAATGTGCCTAGAACAATTGGTTTAATAATTATTCAGGTTGAGGATAATGGATTTCCTCCATAATAGTTAAAAAGATTTTAAAAAATCATGGAACATGAACCAAATGATCTCAATGGTTAAAGGAATGATTGGTATTCCTATAGTTCTCAGGTTCGAGCACGATGTCTATAAGAGTGTTTGAATGTTCATGTTCTAAAGATTCTCAGGTCTCAATCATTTGATAATGAAAGCTCAAAAACCCTTACAGTTTCTGATGCCCGAACCTAAATCTCTAAGAATAATAATAATATCTTTAATCATAAGGCAATTTGGTATGTGCTACCTTATAATCAGTTTAAACTAATGAAAAGAACGCACAAAGGATTTGACCTTATTGTATCACCTTTTTTGGTCCAATTGCTATGGTGAGAATTTTCTAGCAAATTATCCTCAAATAACTTAAAAAAGGGGTTAATTCAGTATATTTGTTTTACAAATTTTATTTAAGAAATACTATATGTATATATATAGGTTTTCGACTTCAATTGTTTAGTAATATAGTCATAATGTGTTAAAAATAATTAAAATATTTTTTTAGATTAATAAAATATTAATCTAATGATAACATTCTCTGCAAATATAAATGCTTGAACATAAGACCTTTAAAGAGAACATTTATTTTTGTCATTAAAACTATTAAAAATTATATATATATATATATTTAATGCTTGCAATTTAAGGTGATTTGTATACCTAATATAAATATTGTCATACAAATGAAAGCACATAAAAGAAACTAAAAGATTGAAGAAGAAAAGAAAATTGCATTTACAGCTCAGCATGGGCCATTTATTTTTCAATTACATAAAAAATCATTTACAGCTCAAACAAAGTGCATCACATGCATATTATCTATCCAACCAAAACAAAGAAGAAGAAAACATTGTGTTGAATCAATATTTGTGGTATCGTCATATTCACATCAACACCAATATTTGTGGTATCATGATATTTACATGAACACCATCCTAATGCACAAGCTCAACACCACCATAACCAATCTCTTGCTCCCCAATCTTTGAACCCCATTGTTATCATCTAGAGTCTGGTCATCTGCCGGCTCGCTGTCTACAGGTGCGTCTGCATCCGGTGCATTTGCTGATTCCACCGGTTTAAACATCTCCTTAGGCAACAATACCTTACTGATTTTGTACACTATCAATGGTTCTTCATCTTTCACAATCCCCGTGATCTTGGCGGTCACAACAGTGGTGTCCAACATCACCACCTCGTCGTTTTTGTCCACTGTGAAATCAAACTTGTTCGCTCCGTCTGTCGCCAGCGTGTTCATGATCCCGGTGTTGGTTTTCAGCATTTGCATGTTCATGTACACCGGAAGGCCATGGTACAACAGCAGAGACTTTTTCTTCGCTGCCGTCAGATTCTTGTATTTGGGCATGAAATCTTTGACGACCTGGTCGGTCGGGCAGAACACCGTTAAACCCGCGTCGAGATTTTGGTTGAATGTTTCGTCGGCATCCGTAGCTTTAAGCAAATCCGCAAACGCTTTACAGCCTTGCTTCATCATTATTTCGGTTATATTAAGATCGGTCGGCGCGGCCGTCGGTGCTTCAGCTTCAGCTGAATCCAAAGGCTGGATTGGATCGATGTTTAAATCATTAAATGGGAATTCTATATGTAAAAGACTTAACAGATTAATAAAATCAAACACTTACGTGACTGATTTGTATGATGGAGATATTATAAGGAATCTCTTTAACGGATTTAACGTAAGTAGCATTGAGTTTCCCGTCGTTGTCTTCAGCGCCGAATCCAACTTTCCCGCCTTTAAGATTAGTAATGTTGACGTACCCTGAAGTGCCCTCAGCGGCGCCGGTGGCCTGGAACATGGTGGAGGTCAACGTTGTTCCTTTGGAAATGCGGTGGAGCTTCTTGGAACCGAAGTAGTCGACGAGTACGTGGAGGGAGAGGACGTTCTTGAGGGTGTAGAGGGAGAAATGTCTGGACAGGAGAGACGACATGGCGGTGTTGTCGAGGGCAAGAACGGTTATGGTTTGGCGTCGGTTGATCTGTGAAGCTAAGTGAGTGGCGGTGAGGTAGTGATTGAAGGTGGAGAATTGAGGGTATTTGGCGAGGATGCGAGTGATGTTGTGTGCATTGGTGGTGGTGGTGAAGGAGAGGAGTAGAAGATGGTGGCGGTTGGTGGCGGCGACATGGTGGTGGGATTGGAAGTGGAGGAGAATAGCCTTGGTGTTCGAGTTTAAGTAGGGTGTTGGGTGAGCATTACCAACTAAGAGTGAACGGGATGGGGACCCTACGTTAAGGTGGGCCCCTTATCCCCACTATGATTGAATGCCCATCATTCATTTCTCGCCTTGCAATTATTTAATTCCAAACAGGAATTTACTGACACCCTCGTCATTCGAGTTTTTATTTTAAAAACCTAAAGTTAAATAGTCAATGTCAACCATATATAGAATAGGATGATTAAAATTTAACTTTATATCATTTAATATGTCTAAAGTTTAAAGTTTGTATATATAAAAAAATATTCGTTGAAAGATTCATATACCACAAAATTAAGTTTACATTACATATCAATTCAGATTAACTAGAATAAAGTTATAGAAAATCAAGATGATGACAAAAATAAAGTTCTCCATTAACATCTCCTTGTTCCCTAGGTTGTAGGTTTAACATTCATTAGGAATAAAATTTCCCTTCTTAGATAGACATTGTTAAAAAAAAGTTAATTTTTAGAGGGTTATAATGTAATTTTCATTAACTAAAGGATTAAAAATAATTAAATTATTAAAAAGAGACAAAATTAAATATATTAACTTTTTTTGATTCATTAATTGATTGAGTGATCAAAAAATGTCTATGTTGTTCTATATTATATAAGTTTTAATTTTGATATTTAACTTGAAAATATAATATATATAAAAATATATACTAGCTTTTAATTTAGGGATTAAATAACTATAATAACTTTTAGATGTATTTTAAAAATCTATATCCCTTTTTATATATTTTAATTTAATGCTCACGTATTGAGACGGCGGTGGAGTTTAAATCTCCTTATAATATAAGTATTTTCTTTATATTATTTATTGATGATTTAATTTTGTATTCTTTAAAATTTAAAATTTTTATTTTTAAATTTCTAATATAGTTTTATATGTAATAAAATCATACATAAAAAGATAATATCATCGACGAAACTACGACGACTCTTAATTTTTGTTTGATGATACTTTAAGTCATTGGAAGTTGAATATATTTCTTAAATTGACTTTTGAGTTATTTTCATTTTTAAATTTAAATATTTATTATGTATCTGTTAATTTTAAAGTTATATAATTTTAAAAATAATATTTTATTCTAACATTCTCCGGATATTATGCCTTTACCATTCAATACAACTTGATTTTTATTCGTATTTGGTTCATTATTATTATTTTACCGTAAAATTTTTTAATGGTTAAATTATTGTGTTTTTACCCATAAATGACTCAAAATAAAAGTGGAAAGTACATAAGTTATTGTTTGTCTATATATAGAGATTTTTACGCAGTGATTAATTTGCAGGGATTACTTTCATTACAGACGCGCATATGAATATTACATATGAAGACTATTCAACTATGTATTTATTTATTTATTTATACATGCATTGTATTTTATCTTTATTTTTAATTTTCTAACTGTCGGAGGTCTTTCACGGAATATGTTCTCAATCGGCGTTGGAGCAGCCTACTACCCTACTTCTCCCTTACCCCATTGCATATGAGAATAGGGTTTTATTGTTTTTGTTGTTGTATTATGAATAATTTTTGTAAGGCTCTACCGACAGTCCACTCTTCTTTTTTTACGGTTAGGATTTTGTTTGCAGGCTGAATTTGGTTTTATTATTATTATTATTATTGTTATTTTCTGACTGTTGGTTTAATGACTTGAATGGATTAGTTTTTAAAGCTATTAATGTGAAAAAAGAAACACATTTGTTTCAATGAATTATGATTTGAGATTTTAACAATCAATTATTAATGTTTAAATGAAATAATATTACCATAAATAAATTGCCAACTAACTTGATATAATAGATCTTGCAAAAGTTGATACCTACGGATAGCGGTATAACGCGACACATCGTGAATAATTTACGATTGCGGTAGGAGAATGATATTTGAAAATTATTCGATCCAAAATTTTGGATATCTAAAGTTTTGGATCATTAAAATAATGATTGTATCTAATCTAAAAATGGATATTTAATTTTTTGGATCGAATATTTAGATTTAAATTGTATATTTTGTGACTTTATGCAACACCTTCTATACCTCTACTATATATAGGATAAGATCATGTTACACAATTCAAAACTCTTTTAGTTTTACACAGATTTAGGACCGTTGGATGAGCGAAAATAGACGACGGAGATTAACGGTATAAAATGATAAAATATTCGCTGGAAAAAAAACAAAGAGTCGATATCAACCATCAATTTTCACTAGTCAAACGATCCTAAATTTACAACTAAAAAAATTACTTTGTGTAAGTGGATCCTAACCATATATATAATCATTCACACGCAATAAATAATTAAATATTCTAATTTTTATTAAGCTACAACATTAGTGAGTTAGTGGGTTACTCACTTATTGGATTAGTGAGTTACTCACTTATTGACCTGAAGACTATCTAAACTCTAAAGATTCATTTTTTACAGATTATTGAATAACTCGAATTGGAATTTATCTGATCTCTATATGATTTGATTTTTTCTCAACTATTTATTCTGAATTATCTAATATCAAATATTCGAATTTTTAGACCAGGTAAATGAATCAACGGATTAAACTTTTTTGCACACTCAACTCTCAAGTACCATGAACAAACAAAACCACATATAGGCCAACACCTTAGAACCAGGGTTAGCAATGAGTTTATATTTTGACCCAAAAATATAATTAGTAATCAAGAGTCATATTGAGGATGTTTCTAGCAAAGAAAAAGTGATTTTTCACTGCATAAGAAATACTAAATACTTAAAATTGATTTAAAATTATTATTGGAAAAATAATTTTCAACTTAATCTCAAAGACTCAAATCTCCATCTTTTACTATAAAAATCACTTTATAGGTGAAATTATATTTTTATCTCAAATAGTATATTTTCAACATAATGTCTAAAATATACATTTTATATTTTCAAAATAATTTTTGAACAATAATTCCAAACAGTTAAATCTTAAGGTGTTTCAAACATTTTAAAATTTTCTTTTATATCACTCTTCAAAATTACTTTTCAAAAATAAATACCAAATTGGCCACTAATAAAGATTTTTTATGAAATAAAAATTCTTGGTAACCAAATATTTGAATGGATGAATAGAGAATATTTTTCGTCTTTAGAATTACGAGAGAAATTTATTTTATAAAAATGTAATATTTTTTTATCTTTGTAATTTTTGAGATTTATGTTATAGAGATGGATTTTGTAGAAATGTTAGAAGAGTGATTTGAGATACTTCAGATTTTAATATATATATACTATTTTTTTACTTTCGTAATCTTTACATTTATATTGAATTATTATTATTTTTATTTGTATAAATAAACAAAAATGAATTATATTAAATCTTATCTCCTATATATGATTTGTTTTATACTTCAGAAGAGACAAGGTCGGTTGCTAGGCATTTTAAAATTGCTTAAATTAGTCACCTCCACAACATTCTTATATTGACCAGATGAAGGAGGCCCATAAAAAATTCAGGGAAGATCCAACAGTACATCAGCTGACTGGATCAGTAAAATAATTTAAATTTTTAAAATATACGTTGTTAATATAAGATTAAAAACGATAAAGATAGGTTGTAATCGAAAATTTTGTCAATAGTGTTATTTTTTAGATTAGATAAAGTAATTTTTTAAGAAACAAAATAAAATGATAGATGACTTTATTAACTCATTCTGCGGTGAATGTACACCCACAGTTCGTTGAGAATAAGATCTTGTATCAAATGTCAATAATGAGTGGTTTGATTAACTCATTCTACTAATTTGATATAAGTAACGAAGATTAAATGTATAATTACATCATTTTATTAACTGTCACATTAAATGCTAATGATATAGTTTAACTGAAATCATTTAAATATTTTTTTCCTGAAAAGCATTTAAATAAAATTTTAAAAAATCGGTGTTCATATTAAAATTTTCATAGTTAAGTGGCCGTGAGTATAATATATCCTTTAAACAATTATGAGTTAAATTAATTTGAATTTAGAATTTAAATATTTAAATAATTATGAATTGAATACATTTGATGCATATTTTAATTCTCCATTCTTAATCATTGTTATTTTAATTTATAAGTCTTTAAAATCAAATAAAATTATATATATATATATATATATTATTTACAGGGAAGGTATTCATTTTTTTTATTATTTTAATTTATAATTTTTTTTAAATTATTTAATCAAATTATATATTAATTTTTTAAAATAATACTAAAAAATATATAATATATAATAATTTAAATTTCTAAAAGAACGTATTCTCATCTCCTCGATCCATCCTGATTACAATGTTTGGGCACATCATTCCTTGGTTTCAAAGATAAGGCTGAGCCGGAAAATATACTAAAGCTGAGACTTGATTCTTTAGAGAAAAACATCTGATATTTAAAAAAAAAAAAAATCTTCCATTAATTAAAATGTTAAACAAATGGTTAGAGTTAGGAGTCGGCAATGCACTGAAAACGACTTGTATTTTTGCTCTCTTCCTTTTTAACATTTTCCTTTTTCTTTTGTAAATATCTTATATTAATATACAAAATATATAACAAATATTATATGATAATAGGGGTAGGTCACTTTAATTTTATTTGGTGCGTCGACTTTGGATTAAATATCTTGGCTTGATTATTCCTAAGCTCCCAACTTTTCCTAATATCTCTAATTTTCTTTCTGCTTTACTGCTCCTCCCCTCGCTAACTAAACCTAAAGCTTCAAGAGCAAAAGACATAAAATGGCAATCACGGAATTTACCCTTTACTTTTAGCACACACTTTTTTAAATCATTTTTTATTTTGTTTAGTGCTCAAACTATTACTTTAGTTTAGATTTTATTTTAGTACTCGTCGTTAAAATATTAACAATAATATTAACGTATCATTATAAAATAATACTAAGTTATTATTATAAAAAATAAAAATAAAAAACATCACAATAACAGTTGTGTTAAATTTTAATAATAAAAACTAAAAAAGAAAGAGTTGGAAGGAGGTGGAGTTATAAAGTGGGCAAGTATCATGGATTCAAGTGGAATTTGCTATTACGTCGCCCACACTTCTCCCCCATTCAATGCTAATGCTGTCCCACCGAAATCCATTTCTTCTCTCCAATTTTT